GTGGGCTATAAAACAATTTTTGTCCAAAGTGGGTGAAAGTGAGGTGTAACTGACAGAGTTGATTTGGTCACTGAAGCTGTCGGGGCTCCGCTGGGGATGTCGTTATCTAAACAGTCATCTGTCTCACTAGTTTAGCAAGGGCAACCTCAGGCAGCACGCTTGACGGTTACACATTAAGAGATGTCAGACTCAGCTTTATAACATATCTTTCAAGCTAATTTTGAATTGACTGGATGCCACGTTTCTCTTCATGTTTTGATTTCACAAGAGTGTGAGTAATAGTTCACTTTGTTGTCGCTAAAGCTTATTTTTAAAATGCTTTGCTGCTAACATGAACTGCTGTTTCTTTATACTGCACTAAAATGATTTTTTTTTTATTGTTTATCCACATTTTGAAAAAAGTTGAATTATGGACAAACATGATTTGACCCTACTGTTTGGTCATAACTTAAATATTTAATCAAGTCATTGGAGCAATCACGTCATCAAAAATATATCTGGCTACAAGTTAGAAATTTTAAAATTGCTTTCTGTGTCACCAGAAGAGAAAGAAAGAGAACAGGGCAACTTTTTCTTTTCCTTGATAACCTCAGTATAACTCGCAAGCATTTATCTGTATTCTGCACAGTTTTTATAGTGTCCTCTGTGGACCAGATGTACTTTTACCCCCGGTGTTTCTTACTGCTAAATCTACTCATCTGCTCCATGTTTGTGATGACAGAGCTCTGATAGGGAAATGCTGCTAAATGGAAAGTTTGGTCTGTACAAGCAGTGGTCTTGAAAAAAGCTTGGTTTCCATCCAACAACCCCCATTTACAAAAATTGCATAATATGCTTTGATGTCATGATTGTAGCCTTACCCATGGCTCTAACACCGACATTGATACAGCACTGTATATTTATTTTTAAACCTTTGCAAAGAAAATGTCAATGAGGTTTTCCATGACGCCCTTTCATCTATCGAAATGTTGACTCTGACCTTTACATTTCAAAAGTTAGTCATTCGATAAAGATTGACCAAGTTCAGAGTATAAGATACAGAAAATCAACTCACAGTATTTACTTTTATACTTACTGTTCCTTTTTAATAGGTTTAAACTGGCTCATAGTTTGTCCAGACTAGAAGAGGAAAACAACCCACATTTTACTAGTACTTCTGTATCAGATTGTACTGATGCACAAGGTGAGTTTCAGTAATGGTTGTTCATTTAATTTTCTTACATTGTAGATTCTCCGAAAAGCTCTGCCTGAAAGTGAAGAAGGCAAGCAACAGAGGTTTTTATTCCAGTCGTTGTTGGAATGGTTCAACTCCAGCGGGGCCACTGATGTAGAGTGCAGTGTCTGCATCAGTGTGGATGTTAGCTACTGTAAATGGTCAGGTCTGCATCTCACTTCCTGATGCCTCCCAGGGTCAATATTTCCCTATAGCTGCTCCCATGAGGCCTTGCTTCCTTTGCTAAAGGTCACATTAAGGCGGGAAAGATGTCACAATTAGAAGGGCATTTAAAGCTGCTCTTTTAAAAAGATTAAAAAGCGCTGTTGGCCACATCAGGCAGTCAGGCGACTAAAGGAAATACAATAATTGCATTAAAACTTCATTCCTTTCTGGCAGGGCTCTTGTATCAGAGAGGTATTGGGTTAAGTCATTTAAGACAGCTGCCCCTGATAGCAAATCATCCATGAAAGCACCAAATTAATATAGAGCTTCATTTTTCGCCGTCTCTCATCTTTCTCTCACTTTTGGCCCTTCAAACGTGTGTTTGGGGGGAAATTCGAGCCAAGCCTAACACAATTTTTGTTCGTGTCTATCAGTGTATTATTATATCAGGGGCACTTCTCCACAAATGTACAGGCCGGGGCAATTTGGAATGAATTGATTCACACTGAGACTGAATCCTATACTTGCTAATGATTTCCTTTTAGCCCCTCTGTTGCACCCCTCACCCAACTTCTAGTTCCATCATGCCCCCCGAATATCTTCATTGTTGCTGGCAAAATGTGTACATGGATTAGATGACATAGATTAAGAAGTTGCTAAGTGCATGGAAATTTAATTTTATGGTTAAAAAAAAAAATTAAGTAGACACAGCTTGAGACTTTGATTGAAAGGAGGCTTATAGATCAGCAACTAGCAGTGAACCTTAAAGTCACAGTTGTAAACGCTGCATTTTTACCTTGGAGCACGTTCATTTCAGTGTAACTGTTAGATAACTGGTGGTTTGAGTTGGCCTGAATAATAAATAATGCAAATAAAACTCTTGAATTCTTTATTGTGAGGTATCTTTGAAATCAACTGGAGAACAATTAGTTTGAACCACAACAAATGACAATTACTGAAACTGGCCCAAAGGAACAAACATAAGACATGCAAAGCGTTGCTGTTCAAGTACAGAAAGTCTGAATACTTGAAACCCAGCAATGAACACCTGCAGTATATCCATAGGTCTTACTGTATATTATAGTTAAATGCTATTGCTAGTTAGCACTGAAATGTACAACTGGTTACATGGATTCCCTCAGGCATCCAACCATGCAGTTTGAACATAATTGGATTTCATGCTCATATCTCACAATTCAGTGTATCACAGTTGTAATTTTGAGACCAATGCCGTGCAAAGTCTTGTCTAGTTCAAACTCAATAACATCACTGTAATCTTGTCTGTTCATCAACTTCACTCTCTTTAAGTGTGTTGGTTAATGTTATCTCTTGCTATGATTGAGTTTTCACCTCTTTTTCAGCTTTACCTGACACTTTATTGGTTATCTGGTTTGCAAAGATTATTGCTCTTAACATGGAGCACTTAGGTGTGTTAGCAGTCAAAGATTTACAAGAAGCTTTACAAAAGAGCCTAAATTTAAGCCAAATGCGTTTCATCGAAAGGAAGGAAATTCCACTAATTTATATTTTAGCTAGTTACGCTGCCAAACCAAATGTGCCTCGTACTGTTATCCATCGTACCCCTCTAAAAGCCCAGTTGTGTGCTATCCCACACTATAACTGATCCATAAGTCAATAACAAGGTTGTGTGCTATCCCACACTATAACTGAGGTGATCCATAAGTCAATAACAAGACTGAAATCTGTGCAATGTGGTTATAATTGATTGAGATGTCTGGGTGGAACTTGTGCAAAGCATCTGTGTCATCTGCTAAGAAGTGCACTTTTCCTTTCCCTGAAGATCTACCACTACAGTTTTAACCAAATGGGCATTTGGCTCATTAGTTTGCCGCTGAGCTAGCTGCGGTCTTTACCAAGATGTCATACTTACACCTATTAACATTGACACAATTTTCTTGTCAATATGGTGCAGCTAAAATGTTTAAGAGAATATAAACAGGGTTTGCTCATTCAGCATATTCCTCCTCTATTAGGTCATAACCTCTCTCAGGGCCTACATCATTCTGTTGTAAAGTATCACATTTTGGTCTGGTTCCTGCCTTTACCACACCTTGTTGGCTCGCTCACTCACTTATAGTGAGAGCTTTGCCAAGAGCATGATGATTTTGTCTTGTTATCAAAGGGATATTTTCTCTATGTTTTGACTCTATCTTTTGGCCCAGAACATCAGTTGGAGGTTCACCATGCAAATGGTTTAATCTGCTTGTCACAATGAAGGTTCCGGGTGACTGACTTTAATAAGCCCTCAGCATATAGAGATCCAGGAAATTCCATACCCCTTTCATAACCTTTATGTACAAGGTCACAGTAGCGTCAGTGAAATTTTAGATTAGTGTCTAAATAAATTGTGGCAGCATTTCTCAGGATGAATCTGGTACATTTTGATAAAATTCACTATGGAAGTTACTGTATATTGCAATAGACTTACAATATAGTATGCTTCTGCTGGAAGTCTGTGTATTCTACATGGTATTTGCATGTGGGTATGTAATTAAATAATTATTTTAGGTTGCTTTTGAGCTACAAAAGAAAAGTCAAATACAAGTTCATAAGTTCCCTAAAGTTGCATGTACTATGATTCTTCACTGCACTGTAATTGTCACAGAAATCAGGCTCTTTAAACAGCTTTCCTGCCACCACTACAAGTTTAAACTGCAATTCTTTTGGAATGAAGCAGGTTCATAGTATATGCAATGCATTACCCAAAATGAATTACCACTGGCAGGGCGCTCAATCACTTTGTATCTTTCAACACTAAGAGAAAAGAAGAGTCATCAAAACCTTTCAACCTATTAGAGGGATGACTTCTACAATTGAATCACGGGGACCACAGGTGCGATAATAAGTCATCTAAACCTCTCCTCCCCTTTCTCTGTGTTCTTACATATTTATCTATTTTAGGAGGCGCCATGAAGTGGCGCCCACTTCAAGTTTATATTTTAATGCCATTTGAGGAAGATTTTTTTCTTTCTTTTTTTTTTTCTTTTGCTCCTTCCAATTCTTGGAAATGCATACTGGGGTGGAAAATTAAGGTGCATCTCGAAGGAAAACATAATAGAATCGATGAACGCAGTGCACTTAAAACTACTGATGTTCTGATGCTATTTAACGTTCTAGTGCATTAACGTTTCAAGTCATTACAACATTCAGGCTGGGTGATTTGATCATGGCAGGTTTTTAACTGGAAGAATTACAGAAGTTTTCAGCCTAGGATTCTCAAGTTATTAGATACAAATGATCACCTCTGCATTAAGTATAGATTTTCTTCCACTGCGCACTTAAGAATGGAAGTTTGTCTTTAAGAGGGTAATAGCAAATTAAGCTCCATACTCCATTTGTCCAGCACTCTTGATGGGCTAATTTTATAACTGCTGATTTGGTCATTCCCCACATTTAGCTGGAAAGTGGTCAGGTGGTCTTTCTGGCTGCCATTGAACCAATGCCATGTTTCATGCACTTGTTACACACACAGCTGCAATATGAAAAGTTTTTTAATGCAACTTTTTATTTTTTTAAACAGGCCTAGACTGTTGTTTTTCTTCTTTTTCTTCCCGCTCACATTATCTCCTTGAGTAATTAAATCACATTTGTCTCTTCCCAGGTTGCCACTGCTGTAAAATTTCTACAGAATCCAAAAGTGCATCAGAGTCCCTTGGCCACCAGAAAAGCCTTTTTGAAAAAAAAAGGTGAGAAACATTTTATTTGCTTTTAATTTATGTTTAATGCAATACTGAAAACCTTGAAACGTACATTATACATGCTGAGAAAATTGTCTTAACATTATAATCCATATGTATATATACACAAAATGTGGTTGGGCTGAAACATACTGTCTTTTTTGGTAAGATTGGTCTGTTAGGGGCAAAAGCTGACTGTAGCCCTTTGCCCTGGGGGGGCCTAATGGGGGTCGATTTAGCTTCAGAGTGCATGATTCAGGCCCTGTGAATAAATGACACACTAGTTTGGATGCTCCTTTGGGTTCAGGAAAATTAATATTGACAAACTCTTTCTGCATTTTCAATGGAATTATCAATATTGCCTTCCAGCATTTTAACCCTTTTACTTAATTTAACTGTTATCGTAAATTTGAGGCATGACACAGCGAGGTTTCTAAGCAGGGACGGTGGAAATGTTTGCTGGCTCTTCAGTTTCTTTGCAATTCATTGAGATTATTTCTGACACATGGTAGAATATTGTTTGTGCAATAAAACTTGCAAAATCCTTTATTGCTCTGAACTAATTTAAGACGGTTCAATATAATGCGGCGGTGGAAATGTGCAGTGTTATGCCATGTATTTCTCACAGTCAGTGTATGGCTGAGCAGTGCCGAGTCTATAGGTGGAGCATGTGGCGTGGGCTCAGATAAATTCTTTGTGGTGAGTATTTTTATTTCAGTTTTTCACGAAACCGTTCAGTACTTGGGGGGGGCTGTACCTCTGCAGTGCTGAGGGACTTTGCCTCCAGCACGAGTAGCCAAACAGTGAAAAGTGAGCCTAAAAGCTACATGACTGGGGAAAGTAACCTGAAACCAAATCCATGGTTGCCGGCTGCTACTACATACATCTCATGGCTCTAATGACTCTTGATATCTTTTGAAATTTCCTTGTCTTTTTGACTCATTATTGACAACTAAAGCATGTTTATAATCTACTGTGGATTACTTCAGATAAAAACAAGGCCTCATAAGTATCAAATGATGTCATGCTTCACCTAATTTTCTTCTTTCTTTTTGCTTTGTTGTAAACTCAGTGGAGCTCTGCTATCCAAAATGGTTTGCTCTTACTGCACTTTAAGTCCATGAAATATGTATGAAGCTTTAATGCAGATTTATTTTGGAAAGTCGGTTCTACTGTAGATCTAAACAGGAACCCTTCATTTGCATAAAGACATTGATCTCAGGGAGGGAGAGATTAAAGATGAGAGAGAGAGCAATGAAACACTAAGCACAAATTATGTTTGAGTAGCACTCTGCAGTGTTTGTAGGATAACTGACTTGTATGGTATATTCATACATAAGTGAACTTGGATATCTTGTACATTCCTACTGCAGCTTTCAAGTTGTTTTAGGACTTCATTAAACAAAGTGTTTTGTGTTGTTTCGATTTTACTTCAACACGCCAGTTTCGAGCTTAGAGCAGTGTTTGTAAATGTTTAGTTTACAGGAAATTGTGCCAGAATAAGATTATTTTTAAACTCCACCTTTAACACTACAATCATCAAACTCGTGTGCCATTGTGGTAAACAGCTAATCTAAGTAGGAAGGTAGGTGTACAAGTCAGTTTCTTGAAGTTTATAAATCATAAGTCAAATTAATGTCATTATGCTGTATTTCCTACTTTATGTGCTGTAATTAAACCTTTTCTTTGTCTTGAGTAAAATAAGTTTCCCATGCCCATATTTATCATATCACAACAGACATCAGTTGTACTTTGTGGTTACATTCTGAGTTTTTTTTAATGTATGATCTATCATTACAAGATGCATGTGGTGCTGGTTTAAATGTCTACATATCTGTGTTGAGAAGAATTTCATTTTGACTTGACCACTTTTTCATAAATGTGTTCATATATTGATTACAGGTAGGAATGGAATATGATCATGAAATAAGGTGATTGGTTAATTCCTTTTCTGTCTCATTTGAGCTCTAATAGACTTTTGCATAAATATAACAGGAGGCTAGTATTCACAGTTCTCCCTGTTTCTGTACTATACCCAGCTTGTATCATTCTCTCAACCTTTTGACCCAGAAACTCAGTCCTCCTCCTCCTTCCAGAGTCACCATAGCAAATGTGTCAGTCTTAATTTCTAATACAGTTTAATGTCATATTTATGTAAATACTCCTGGATTTTACTCTATATTAACAGCCAGAAATGTCAAAGCACACATAAAATGAAACAATACTATCTCCCGGTGGAGTGGAATTTAAATTGGATTCCTCTTGCTGCCAGTACTTACACTGGACAGCTGATGAAGGGGAAAATAGGGCCCACTTTGATTGCATGTTGCAGAATCTTTACACAATAATCTCGCTTGTGCATATTATTTCCCTGCACATTTGTGCCCTAATCTGCACTGAAGGATGCCTCTGGCTACATCTCCCTTTTTTTTTCCCCAGAGAGATCCTAATAGTGTGGTTTATTTCAATATTCATTGAAAAATATAATTTTCTGTTTTCCTTTAACTGTCAATTTCAGGGTATGAATTGGCAATTATGCAGTCCAATATTTCTAGCTGCCCTTCTTGAGTCCTTGTTGAATAAACTGGCTGAAATGTTGAAACTTTGTCACTTAGATGTAATATAAATCAAGATTTAAACCCATTGATGTTTTCTTTCTTTTGCATAGGAGTGGGGAAATGAATTATATTTAAACTGTCTTGCAGCCATCTTGAAGTAATTTTGCCTACTTGTTCCTTGCCAAGATCAAGTAAATTTTATTGCGTTGGAGTGAAAGATAATGTGCTACAGTCTCATCTAGTGAATTGTGCCATCTATGTCCTCTACAATTAACAGATGTAACAACTAAAGAGTGTTTGGCCACATGTTGGCACCACCATTTAGCCCAGACAATTAGCAGTTACACACATAATTACCAAAAAAATTAAATTCTCAGGATGAAGTCGAGAACATTTTCCAGCTTTCAGCATGTCACTTTGACCACGGCCCCTAAGATGACATCACTCAGCTGCCAGATTACCAGATTGAGTGCAGTTTGGGAAAGTAAAGCACTGAGGGTACACATAGATCACAAATACGAGTACTGCCCTGGTCAGAATCACTAAAATGACAACTAAAGCCTCTCTATTTAATACAGAAGTAACTGTTTTAACTAAAGGACAAAAAGAATGAACCCAGTTAATTTGAAAAACTAAGACTAATTAAACAAAAATGAATTGTTTATGTTTAAGAACCAGCTACAATAAAAGCCAGTCCACCCACCACTGGTGAGATTCCTTTATTTTATTTTATTTTTTATATTTTGTATGTCCGTCTTTATTTTTAATGACATTCTATCCTCCAGGATGGTATCAGTCTCCAATTTGTCATTTGCCATTTGTCACAGTTGATTCTTCTCTGGTCTTTACTGTAGGGCTTTTGTTGCTTTACAATACATTGTGCTTTAAAATACTTCAAAGGTTTTCTGTTAGATTCAAGTCAGGGAGCACACTTGGCCAGGTCATAGTTTTCATTTTTTTTCTTCTTTAAATACTCCTATTTTGTAGTGTGTTTGGGATCATTGTCATGTTGGAAAATCCCTGGCTCTCTCCAAGCTTCTTGAGACCTGGAGTCATCTTTTCATTCAGTATCACTCCATATCGGCACACTCCCACTTCCATGTCTCACAGTCAGCACTCTGCAGTCACTGCGTTAGCCCTGGCCAGATCCATGCCAAACACAATCCAAACACATTTGAAAATAAAAAGAATGTATTGCTAAAATAGCTCGGGGCTCTTTTAATGTTCTTAGGCAATGTTTGCTTAGATAGAATGCAACAAAAGTCTGACTACCTGTGATCAGTAAAACAAAAGTGACTGCACTGTGATTTCCAATTTACTTCCAGTTAACTGCATGTACAAGGTCATAGAATAGCCTGTGAACACCAGTTTTTTCAGTTTTAGCCTCTGTTATATGATGCAGCTTAGCAAGTAACTGACTGATCAAGTAAGAAACCTGATTGTGAGACTTCATAAAGGTGGGTGAGGGTTCCCCAGTAGGCAATTGAACTTAAGATTGTACATATTATACGGATCCGTACAGGTCTCTAATTTTTAAATACTCTATTTTTATTCCTGTTTTTACCTAATTTCAATGAGCATTCCTTTGTCTGCATTGTCTACTGCCTGTTTATACTGCTTATTTTGCATTGTTTGCACTGTTTGTTGCTTGTTAATATTGCTTATTTTGTTATATTACACAGCCTTATGCTGGTTTACTGTTTACTTGCCCCTTGCATGGGGATATGTACATACACATTGAGAGCCGATGTACCAGAGTAAAATTCCCTGTGTGTCCGACACACCTGGCCAATAAAGCAGATTCTGATTCTGAAGATGAAATACAGTTGCAGCAGTGATTAAGAGGTACATATAGAAAGAGCCATACCACCAATAACTGGCACAGTAGACATCCACGAAAACTGAGGCCACACCCAATTTGCGATTTATGCAACCTTACTTTAAAGAAACAGTTTTAACTGATTCTGACTTGCCATTTGCTACAATTCATGGGGAAATTGGTGTTTAAGTGACTGATCAGACAGTGTGGGGACATTTCATGAAGTAAACCTCTACAGACAGTCCAAGAAGAAAACCATGGCCCAAAACAACGGCAAAACCTATTGTTTTTAATTACACATAAGGTTAAACACCCTCCACTTCAATAAAAAAAACAGCATTATTTTAAGATAGTAAAGTTTTGAATCATCTAACATTTTAGTGGTGTTGCTCAGGGGTGTACTCAGTTTTGCTGTATACTTTATTGTTGCATTACAGCTAAAGTCAGCATGTGAAACAGGCACAATATATTTTCTGTCAGTGAGACATAAATGATGACTTGACTTATTTCTTTTTTTATGCCGTCCCACTTGTTATTGTGTTGAATAAATAATGCAAATAGATTTGACCCTGAATAGAGGGACAGTGATCCAGGGTCACAGGGAATACAGGTAGGCTTTTGGTTTTTTACCATACCTGGTATGAAGGTAAGGGTAAGGTTCATCACCCCGGATATAATAGGATGCAGTTTGTAAGTGGGGTTCTGTGACTCACCTCTCGGACAAAAATGACAATGGCCAAGGCCTGCATAAAAGGTAAAGGGATTGATGTGGTTATAAATAACTCCACGGCGCCACCTAGCCTAGGCCTTGCCTACTTTGTCATCAGCACAAGGTGATAAAGCAGGGAAATGAGAGCAGAGTCCCCTTTTTAATACATAAATGAATAGTCTATGAGAGTGGCCATTATTTAGGGCATGCCATTTCCAAGAAGTTGTATCAAATGACACGTAGAATCTCCCTTGCCAGCACAGCATCAGAAACAAGTTGAAGTTGCACTTGACTTGTTAATAACCCATTGACCTCCATCTATTTATGACCCCTGTTGTGCCTTTTTTTTTTTCTAAATATGATATTCAAAATGTAATTTTCACTCAAGGGCAAGTTCTTATTTTAGGCCTTGGAGGACAGTGAAAAAGGCATTCACCTTTTACCACCCAAAAATATTTCAGTAAGCAATTTTTATAATTGGCTGTCCAGTCTAGGTCTTGACCCATAATGTCCAGAAGTGCCAGAATTGGAGAAATGGATTTAATGTAAGAACCTTGCTGCCTCTTTGCCCTTAAAAAATACCCAGAGAATATGAGCCACTGAAAATAGAGCTGTAAATAACCTGACGAGCAATGGGTTTTCCTTTAAATAAATACCGATCAGGTTTATGTTGAAAGACAATAGAAAACGTAGCCCAGATATGCAGTTTACAGTATTTATAGCTGTAATATCGAGGTGCCAGCACCGTAATTTCATGCCCCAATGAGAATGGCAAGGTCAAAGCAAATGCTTTGGCTGAGCATCTGCTAATACGGTGACTCATAAACAGGCACTGCGTGTATCAGGTGCACCAAATAATACAGTATAATGAAATACAGAATAGCTTTCCATTATTGTTCTTTTTTATGATGTCGTCATTAGGTGTAATTTATATCTTAAAAATTCATCTCCCCACAGGCCAATCTGAAATGGGGGTCCAGGGGTCATTCCACAGGTTTTGGAGCCCATAATAAATTTCACAGTCCCTTTTTTGTCTTTCCCTTTTATATGTAAAACTCACTTTCACCTTGTTCCCTCTTCTTTTGGATCTAAAGGCCCTTTCATTTGCTGTTGTATTCCCATCAACAATAAAGAGGTCTGAGCCTACAATACAACTTGGCAAGTTGTAATTTGACTAAAAAACAGCTTTAGGAATTTCCATGTATTTTATTTTGATGCAGGGTAAAACCCTTTAATTTGCTGTATAGACGACATCAAAGATGTAAACAGTCATTTAGATGTACATACATTAAACTCAGTAGCATACTAAATGTGGATTTTTTTAAAACAAACTTTACATTTCAAGGTGAAAGGAATAACCTGAAGCATGTTTTTATTTCTTCTCATTCAGTGAAACTGAGATCCTCACTCAATAGTCTGCCCCTGTGTAGTCTGCTGTGGTCAGATGGATCAGGAGTCCAGGGGCATATTATTGCTTATTTGACAGTGCAACCTGACTGCACAAACTCAGCACATGGCGCTCACCACTTCCTGGCATTCAGGACCTGCTGTAGACTACAGGCCAGCCGATACATTTTCATGGCCATTTGAAATCCTCAGAGCGTTTAAATAGGTGACAATAGGGACCTCCCCTTTGCATCAGCTATGCGTTAGATTATCAAAGGATTTCTTTATACTTTTTGGTTGCTGACGTAGGGATAGGTTAAAGTGGGATTTCTGATCAGTGTTCAAGCAGCG